TTTTTTGAGGAAACTCCATACTGTTCTCCACAGTGGCTGCACCAGTCTGCATTCCCACCAACAGTGCATGAGGGTTCCTTTTTCTCCGCATCCTTGCCAGCACTTGACATTTGTTGATTTGTTGATGATAGCCATTCTGACAGGTGTGAGATGATATCTCATTGTTGTTTTGATTTGCATCTCTCAGATGATTAGTGACTTTGAGCATGTTTTCATATGTCTCTTGGCCTTCCTTATCTTCTTTTGAAAAGTACCTATTTAGGTATGTTACCCATTTTTTGATTGGGTTGTTTATCTTCCTTTTGTTAAATTGTATGAATTCCCTGTAAATGTTGGAGTTTAAATCCTTCTCAGTGATAACATTGGCAAATATGTTCTCCCATGCAGTGGGCTCTCTTGTTGATTTGTTGATGGTTTCTTTTGCTGTGCAGAAGCTTTTTATTTTGATGTAGTCTCATTTGTTTATTTTCTCTTTAGTTTCCATTGACCTAGGAGCTGTATTGGTGTAGAAATTGCTTCAGCATATGTCTGGGATTTTGCTGCCTGTGGATTCCTGTAGTATTATGGTTTCCCGTCTTAGTTTACGTCCTTTATCCTTTTTGAGCTTATTTTTGTGTATGGTGTAAGTTGGTGGTCTAGTTTCATTGTTTTGCATGTATCTGTCCAATTTTCCCAACACCATTTATTGAAGAGACTGTCTTGATTCCATTGTATTTTTAAGTTAGTTTTCTTGATTCTAAGGAAATACTTAAACACTTGTAGTTTATCATTGCTAAGTTTTATACTAATTTGCAGGAACATTGAGACAGAATTCTGCTTCAGTATTATAAATTGCATAAATACCTTAGTAAAATCTTTACTGTTGAGATTATTACAGATATTCTCCTTTTTTCTCCCCATTACCCTCCTCCACCCAGTTCCCACCCTGTCCCAGGCCTTCACCACCCTATTGTCTGTGTCCCTAGTAATGCATATCCTATATATTATAATAAAAGCATAATATGCAAATCGACCAAATGGCAGAACGATGGGTCAGCAGAGGGGGTGGGAGGAGGCGGGGTTGGTGAGCAGGTGGCACCAGGCCAGCCAAGGCATGTGCCAGTAGGCAGAGGGAAGGGACAGCGATGGGGTGGGGGGACGCAGTGGCGACCAGCAGCGGGGAGGTGGGGGCCAGCGCCATCCCCTGCTCGCCCGCCTGGTCAGTCGCCGTCCACAGAGTGAGGCCACCTGCAACGGCAGCAGGGCAATTTGGGGCAGGGCCAGCTATCTTCAGATCAGCCCACTGGGGTCGCCTCCCACAGAGGGAGGCCACCAGCAGTGGTGGAACAATGGGGGGGCAGGGCAGGCTGGTCGCCTCCCTCGCCGCCCCCTGATCGGCCCACCGATCACCTCACACAGAGGAAGGCCAGACTGTGGCTTAGGCCCACTCCCCAGTTGGACATCCCCTGAGGGCTCCTCCTGGACAGTGAGAGGGTGCAGGCTGGGCTGAGGGACCCCCTCCCACCCCCCCGAGTGCAAAAATTTTCATGCACCGGGCCTCTAGTATGCATATAAGATCTTTGGTTAATCTCTTCCTGTTCCCCCCTTTCCCCTTCCCTCTAAGATTCGTCAGTCTGTTCCATGTTTCCATGCCTCTGGTTCTATTTTATTCATTAGTTTATTTTGTTCATTTATTTTTATTTTTAGATTTAATTATTGATATGTATTTATTGCCATTTTATTGTTCATATATTTATTGTGCTTGTTCTTCTTCTTCTTGTTCTTCTTCCTCCTATTAAAGAACACCCTTCAACATTTCATGTAATACTGGTTGGGTGGTGATGAACTCCTTTAGCTTTTCCTTGTCTATGAAGTTCTTTATCTGACCTTCAATTCTAAATGACAGCTTTGATTGTGGATCCTTGCTATTCATCACTTTGAATATTTCTTACCACTCCCTTCTGGCCTGCAAAGTTTCTGCTGAGAAATCAGCTGGCAGTCATTCCCTTGGAGGAAACTAATTGCTTTTCTTCTGTCCTTTTAAGATTCTCTCTTTGTTTTTAACTCTTAGCATTTTAATTATGATGTGTCTTGGTGTGGGCCTCTTTGGATTCCCCTTGTTTGGGATTCTCTGCGTTTCCTGAACTTGTAAGTCTATTTCTTTCACCAGATATGTCAGTGATGGCGAACCTATGACACGTGTGTCAGAGGTGACACGCGAACTCATATTTTTGGTTGATTTTTCTTTGTTAAATGGCATTTAAATATATAAAATAAATATCAAAAATATAAGTCTTTGTTTTACTATGGTTGTGAATATCAAAAAATTTCTATATGTGACACGGCACCAGAGTTAAGTTAGGGTTTTTCAAAATGCTGGCACACTGAGCTCAAAAGGTTCTCCATCACTGAGATAAGGGAAGCTTCTGTATTATTTCTTCAAATAGATTTCAATTCCTTGCTCTCTCTCTCCTCCTTCTGGTACCCCCATAATGCTTTAAGTTGTTCCACAGGCTTCTTCCACTATCTTTATATTTTTGGAATCATTTTTCTTCTTGCTCTTCTGATTGGGTGTTTTTTGCTTCCTCATATTCCAAATTGTTTATTTTATTCTTGGGATCGTCTACTCTACTGTTTATTCCCTGTAAATGATTCTTTATTTCAGTTAGTGTACGCTTAATTTCCAACTGGTCCTTTTTCATGTCTTTGACATTCTCACTAAGATCCTTGGAAGTCTCACCAAGTCCCTTGAAGCTCTCATTAAGATCCTTGAGAAACCTTATAACCGTTGTTTTGAACTTTGTATCTAGTAGCTTAATTGCATTTATTTCATTTAGATCTTTTTCTGAAGACTTCTTCTATTCTTTCATTTTGACATTTTTCTTTGTCTCTGCTTTTTGGGTGTTTCCCTGTGTTTGTTTCTATGTATTATGTAGAACTGCTATGTCTCCTGGAGTTGGTAGAGTGGCCTTGTGTAGTAGGTGTCCTATAGGGCCCAGTAGCTTAGCCTCCCCAATCACCTGAGCTAGGCACTCTAGGTGCATAGTTCTTGTCATAGTTGAGCTTTGATTACTATTAGCATCACTGGGAGGAATTAACCTCCAGGAGCTACCCTATGGAGCAGGACTTGCTTCAGTAGGGCTTTGGTGCTTACTGAGTCTGCCTCTTGAGTGTGTCATTTGTGGGTATGTAGAGTTGTTTCCTGATATGGTCTGAAGCTGTCCACTGAGTGCACTGGCTCCGTGGCCTCCTGGGAGGTGCAAAGTCAGCCACTGCCTATGTCCACCTGTCAGTAGCTACAGGGGGATCTTCAGATGGCTGATATTTATATTGGGTTTAGATGTGCCCAGGCAAGGCCCAGCTGTGAAGCATGGCAGGCTGGTGCTAGTATCAGGTCTTGGGCATATTATTGATAAGTTTGACACCAGCTGCTGCTTGTTTGAGAAATTTTAGCAAAATCTGAAGCCTGAGCTAGGACAGGCCATTCATATGGAAAAGCTGCCACAAACAGCTTGGGTGGGGCTGCAAATTGGATGGGGAAAAGTCCCAGGAAATCACCAGGGTGGAGCAAACAGTGTGGGCCATGCTGATAGAAACTCATATATAGCTGCCAGTCAGCTCTGTAACAGGGGAGGTCCCAGCTCAGGGACAATGACCTCTGTGAGCAACCTCTTCTGGGAGAAAGCTGCCCCTGAGTTCTTACGCTGATGCCAGGCAATCCAGTTCCTCCCAGAATGTCCCAGGTTCCTTTTAAGCCACCACTCCAGTGCTGGAGCCCAGAGGTATGGAGTCCAAGTAAGTCTGTGTGCCGGCCCTTTAAGAGGAATACCTGGGACTCCAGCAACCTCTGTGCCACTCATCCACAACTGCACTGGATTTTACAAGCCTGAAGTTATGGGGACTTCTCTTCCCAGCTCTGGAACCCTGGGATAAGGGTCTGGTGTGGGCTAGGATCTCTTGCTCTTCACAGGAGGCCTCCACAGCCATGACATCCCTCCTGATTAAAAAAAAATGCCACACATTGGTGTTGGACCATCCCATTCCACCCTCCAACCCTCATACCAGTCTCAATGTGCTTTCTTCTTTACTTCTCTAATTGTAGGACTTCCATTCAGCCAGATTTCAGGTAGTTTTAAATGATGGTTGTTCTGTATTTTAATTGTAATTTTGATGTGGTTGTGGAAGGCAGTGAGTGCGGCATTTACCTATACTGCCATTTTGGTTGTCTCATAAATTCCTTTTAATGTATGGTTTTCTTTATTTGCAGGTCACTTAAAAAATTGGTTGTTGATGGGAATGAACTGACATCTTTTCCATCTGGAATTTTGAGGCTTCATCTGAAAAAAATCCGTTTTGAAAATACCTTCACTATTCCTAGTCTTTGGAAAGAGAATTCTTTGAATAGTCCACAGCATCTTACTCAGCTTACTGCTTTGTTCTTTTTAAAAAATAATCTACATAAATATTATGATGAGATCCCAGATGAAATTCAAATGTTACTAAACTGGTAAGCAAATTCTAAAACCCTTTTAACCAAAATGCACTTTTAAGCATTTAAAATTTTCTTTATTACAGGCTCACATAATAGGTTTCCTATGAACACACACACACACACACACACCTCACATCACACACCACACATGAAAATATATGCACAATTCTTTAAATTGCTCCTTCTGGCTCTTCAGGCATAATAATGTAGTCTGAATTCAGCCCATCTTCTATCAGTAAAGTTATTACTTAAATCTAATGTGAGATACAGATTGCTAAGGTATAGCTGGCAACATCTATACAGTTGTAGTATAACTCTTTTCTATGAATCACTAAGGACATAATGTGCATTCTTCAAAAAAAAAAGTAGACTCTTTAGTCCCATGTACACTATGCAGGGAAATGTTTTACTCTATTCTAACTTCTTAGAGACCAAGAATACAGCAGACATATATAGAGCAACTTCTTCTACTCCAGGATCAATGGCCAGTGTGAGAATCATTGTCTAATCTCAGGACTAAGCCACACACTTTCAGTCTACTCAGGCTTATCTCTTATTTCTTTCAGGTGGTTTAAAACTATTTTTATCACAGTATTGATCATCAGTGCTTATATTATTGATTTAACAAATATTTGTTGTATGCCTAAGGGAAATGGTTTCTTAGGAGTATATAAATTAGCAATATTGACTCAATAAAAAGCAGAAAACCTGAACAGATTAGTAACTGTTGAATACGTTTAAAAAGGTGATTAAAAATGTACCAGTAAAAACTAACAAGACCCCAAAGTGTTCAATTTTATTTTATTTTTTAATCTTCACCCAAGGATATATTTATTGAGTTAGGAGAGAGAGAAAGAGGAGAGAGAGAGAGAGAGAGAGAGAGAGAGAAACATCAATTGGTTGCCTCCCATATGTGCCCCAAACAGGGATTAAACTCGCAACCTAGGTATGTGCTCCCAATAAAAATTGAACCTGCAACCGTTTTTTGTGTATGGGATGATGCTCCAACCAACTGAGCCACCCAGCCAGCTGGAGCCAAAGTTTCTAGTGTTATGCTTTGAGATGTCAGTGCTTATGAGATTTGAATGCACCTAAGAAAGTAAGAAAAATCTCCAAGGACAAAATAAATAAATAAATAAAACCTAACTAGTGAATGGTAAATAGATATGAGACCAAGAGATTTGAATTCACCACAGATTTTTGTGAGAGAATGTCCTCAATTTAGACTTTGAATATTCAAAAAATTAAGCTTAAATGAGTATTATTTTACAATTTAAAGAAATTTCCAAATATATGAGAAAATAAGCCACCAAGAGTAAAAGTCAGCAAAAATATTCAACAGATATACTGTAAATCACTTAAGATGTAACATATTAGAATTGTTTACAGGATATGAAATAGCTATTTAAGTGTTTAAAAAAACATAATTTCAAAAATGCTTAAGGAATAAAAGACCATTAAATATGACAAGACAAATATGAAAAAGAAATTTTAAATGAAATAAAATTCTGGAAACTAAAAAGTATAATAGTTGATATTAACTTGATGTATTGGTGAGAAACATAAATATGTATAATAAATAGCAATAAATATGTATCTATCAATAATCATTTTAAATGAAATTAGATTAAATGCTCCAGTCAAAAAACATAGGATAGCTGAATAGATGAGACAATAAGACATATATATTTGCTGTCTATAAGAAACGCATTTCAGGTCAAAAAGCACACACAGTCTGAAAATAAAGGAATGAAAAAAATATGCCATGAAAATGAAAAAAAAACCTGGGGTAGTAATACATATATATCAGACAAAATGACTTTAAAACAAAAGCTTGGAGAATGGAAAATGGCGGCCGAATAGGCAGCAGTGTCGTGCACCTCCTCCTAGGGCCAGGCCAGAAAAGCAACTAAATCAGATAACATCCACCCTGAATTAACAAATTGGATACAGCTGAGGAGACAATCCTATATAATAAAGAGGGAATATGCAAATTGACTGTCACATCATCACAAAATGACGGCGCCCACAGCAGAGGCGGGGGTTTCCGTAACACAAGATGGCTGCGCCCACAGCGGAGACCAAGTTCCCGTAAAAAGCCTTAATGAGCAATCAGCAGAGACCTGAGGCTGTGTGGCGCTGGGCCAGGGCAGGGGACCTCAGGCAGCAGCCCCCCACCTGGCGGGGCTTGACAGAGGACCTCAAGGTGTTCCCCCTGCCCTAGTGCTGGGCCGGGGTACTTCAGGCTGCTTCCCCTGCCCCAGGCTGGGGGACCTCAGACCGCGCCCCCCAACCTGGTGCCGAGGGACCTGAGGCTGAGCCCCCTGCCCTATGGGGCTTGACAGGGGACCTCAGGCCATGCCCCCTGCCCAGTGGGGCTTTACGGGGACCTCAGGCTGCGCTGCCTGCCCTGGTGCTGGGCTGGGGGAATCTGAGGCTTCACCCCCCATCTGGCGGGGCTTGACAAGGGTGAGGCCAGCCGGGTCTGGATCTCACCCAATGCGGGTGGGGCTGGCTGGGGCTGGGTCTTGTGCGATTTTGAGGTGCTGCGGGTGGGTGGGGACTTGACTTTGGGTCCCATGGTGCACCCCAGACTCTGACAGGAGGAATATTTTCATATACATTTTACTAATTTTCTTTCATCTCTGACACTTCTATTATAGAGAAAGGGCAAATAGCAATATTAAAATATTTCCTTTAATTAATTCCCTTTTAATGTGCATGAATTTCGTGCACTGGGCTACTAGTTTTAAATAAAGAAGGGCAGAGGAGAACGCCATTTCCCAGCCATACCCATGTGAAACCACCACTGTGCCCCAGCAGTGAGTGGCCCATTACCTCCCAGCAGGCTCCCAGACATCTGCAGGGAGCACTCACCGCCAGAGTGAGCTCCCACACCAGGGCTCCACACCAGCCTGCAGAGACCCAGTGTCCTAGGATCTGGCTCTAAGACCCTGCAGTGAGCGCAAGCCAGGGGGAATCCTGTGCCCCACCCCCACCGCAGACCCCAGAACTGTGCTGTTAGCCTGACCTGGAGCCACCTGGTGCCCTCTCCTGCCTCATCCCTGGGACCTGCTGCTGTGGCAACCCAGAGCACACCCCACTCTGGGTCACAGGAGAGTGGGCACTGTGCAACCCAGAGCAATCTATACAACCCAGAGCAACTGGTACCCACTCTACCCTGGCCCCCTGGACAGCCCTGCTGGGGTGACCCAAAGCTACTCACACCCACTTTTACCCTGGTCTGGGAGGGGCAACCCAGAGCAACCTTCCTGCTCCACACCGGCCCCCAGGACAGTCCTGCCAGGGCCATCTGGAGCAACCCAATGTGCACCTCACTCAGGGCAACAGGAGAGCACAGACTGAGCAACCTAGGGCAACCCGCCCCAGCTCCACACTGAGTAGAGGTGAGTTGGAGCAACCAGTGCTCCTCTCACTCCAGGCTACAAGAAAGTGAGGACTGTGAAACCTAGAGCAACCCACACCCAATTCACCCTGAGCCCAGAGTCTTGCTGCAGGGGCAACCTGGAGTAACCCAGCATGAGCCCCACTCAGGCCACAGGGAGCTCTGACTGTGCAACCCAGAAAAACCCACAACCGCTTCTCCCTAGCCCCTGAGACAGTCCTGCAGGGGCTATCCGGAGCAAACCAGCACACGTCGTCTCACTGAGGCCACAGGAGAGCACTGCCAGGGTGATATAGAGCAAGTCAGTGTGCCCAGCCAGGGGCCACAGGACTGTGCTGCAAGTGCACTGACAGAAAAGAAGAAATAGAAAGGGAAGAAAGAACACAGGCATAAAGAATAAAAATGGCTACAAATAAGTACCTATCAATAATATCATAAAATGTGAATGGACTAAATGCTCCAATCAAAAGACATAGAGTGGCTGAATGGATAAGAAAACATGAACCATATATCTGCTGTCTACAAGATACCCACCTCAGAACAAGGGATTCACACAGACTGAAAATGGAGGGATGGAAAAATATTTTTCAGGCAAATAAAAATGAAAAAAAAGCTGGGGTAGCAATATTTATATCTGACAAAATAGACCTCAAAGTGAAGGCCATAACAAGAGATAAGGAAGGCCACTTCATAATACTAAAGGGATCAATACAACAAGAGGATTTAACTCTGGTAAATATATATGCATCCAATGCGGAGTACCCAAATACATAAAAAAACTTTGGGAAGATAACAAGGGAGAGATCGACAGCAATACAATCATAGTAGAAGATCTTAGTACCCCATTGACATCACTGGATAAATCCTCTAGACAAAAAATCAGCAAAGAAACAGCAATTCTAAATGACTCACTAGATTAGATGGGACTTAATCTACATCTTCAGAACATTTCACCCAAAAGCTACAGAATAGACATTCTCCTCAAGTGCACATGGGACATTTTCAAAAATAGATCACATATTGGGTCACAGGCAAAGTCTCTTCAAATTCAAGAGGATTGAAATCATATCAAGCATCTTTTCAGATCACAATGGCATAATATTAGAAATCAACTACAATAAAAACAATAAAAAATTCAAACACTTTGAGGCAAAATAGCACGTTATTAAATAATGATTGGGTTACCAAAGAGATTGAAGAAGAAATAAAAAACATTCTGGAAAAAAATCACAATGAAAACACGACAATCCAAAATCTATGTTCTGAGAGGGAAGTTCACAGCATTGCAAGCCTACCTCAAAGAATAAGAAAAACTGATAATAAATTATCTAACTCTACAACTTAAAAAATTAAAAAGAGAGCAACACGAAAAGCCCAGAGTGAGCAGAAGGAAGAAAATAATAAAGATCAGAATGGAAATCAATGACATAGAGACAAAAAAGAAAGAAAGAAAGAAAGAAAGGAAGAAAAAGAAAGAAAGAAAGAAAGAAAGAAAGAAAGAAAGAAAGAAAAGAAAAGAAAAGAAAAGAAAAGAAAAGAAAAGAAAAGAAAAGAAAAGAAAGAAAGAAAGAGGTCAATAAAACCAAGAGCTGGTTCTTTGAAAGAATAAATGAGATTGGTGAACCTCTAGCCAGGCTCACCAAGAAGCAAAGAGAGAGGACCCAAATAAACAAAATCAGAAATGAAAGAGGTGAAATAACAACAGACCCCACAGAAATACAAAGGATTGTAAAAAAAAATACTATGAACAACTCTATTCCAACAAACTGGTCAACTTAGAGGAAATGGACATATTCCTAGAAAAATACAGCCTTCCAAAACTCAACCAGGAAGAATTAAAAAAAAAATCTGAATAGCCTGATAACTATAGAGGAAATTGAAGCAGTAATCAAAAAACTTCCAGCAAACAAAAGCCCCAGGCCAGATGGCTTCACAAGGTAGTTTTACCAAACATTCAAAGAATTAAAACCTATTAGACTATTCCAAAAAATTCAAGAGGAAGTCAAAATTCCAAGTTCTTTCTATGAAAGCAGCATTACCCTAATTCCCAAACCAGATAAAAACACTAAAAAGAAAGAGAATTACAGGCCAATATCCCTCATGAACATAGATGCCAAAATCCTCAACAAAATTCTAGCAAACCAGATCCAGCATTACATTAGAAAGATCATACACCATGACCAAGTGGGATTTATTCCAGGGATGCAAGGCTGGTA